AAAAAAAAAAAAAAAAAAAATACAGTTCAACCTCCGTAAACATACACCTCCTATAGGCAGGAAGTTGAACCAGGAACCAGGAACACCTCCTGTTTGTTGCCACTAAGTACACCTCCAAAACATTTTGAACCTCTCATAAGCAGAAAACTCCCCTGAGTGGGCACTTTTCCTGGCACCGGGGATACCAGTTTAGCAGAGGCTCCATTGCATTGACATCTATCAAAGTTCTTCCATTTGGAGCAGCATCGACATTTTGACCGTCTGCCAATTCACGGCAATGTTCACAAATTCAAATTCACTAATTCACACATTATTCAGAGTTTTCCTCCACAATACTGTAGTTTGTCCTGCGGCCAATATAAATCATGTTACATTTTAGTGTAGAGTATATTTAATAAATTAGGTATGTGTGGACAAATACATGCTATTAACAAAGCTTGGTAAGTGTGTATCTGGATAATCTTGGGTTTGTTGTTCAGAGATTTCAATTCAAGTACAGGGTACAAAGAAAGTGAAAATATAGAAAGATACAAAAATCATAGCAATACACTTAAGACACGTTTACCTCCTGACGAGGGTCTTTTTGCTGTCGTTAATATCCTGGGCTACATCCGTTGTCTCCTCTAAACTGACTTCCATCTCTTCCTTTTCCTGCTTACCATCACCCCCTTTCTCAGCTTCTAGAGAAAATACGTTGGCCAGAGAGACCTCTACATTCTTAGAGTCTGCAAAAAAAATAATAATAAAATAAAATAAATAAATAAATAAATAACAAAATAAGCCAAGTTCACGAATAATTAATGATTGATTAAGTATCCTTCTTACTTTTACATCGGAGGCCAGACTAGTTTCTTACATAACATTTTTGGGCAAGACAGTCAGTATTCACAGTACTTCCAAACAACATACATACTTACTAATCAGTAAAGTAACACGAAAAGGCTGGAGCAATCCGCTGGGCCAAGCGGGGGTTTCATTAAAGGCCAGGCAGTCAGGCGAATTCACCAGCTATGTTACCTATCTTGCCTGCCTGGCATAATCATCCTCAGGAAGTTACTCCTTATGAAAGATTTAGTTCAAAAAGATTTGCCTGTCGATGAATACCTCAGACATGGCAACTGGTAACAGACTAGCATCCCATATAAAGGTAGAGGGAATACTCTGCATATGCCACAAATAAGCCAGCCTACAGCTAGAGCATTGATGTCAATACTTAGATGTACCGTGCTAATGTTCCTCTGCATGTATGTGGGAGGATTGGAAAAGGATGCTAGTCTGTGACTGTTATTGCCCAGGATTTTGTGACTCTTGCAACATCTAGCTTCAGTTGTTCAACGAGCGGATAAATTAAAGATATCCGCAGAATAAAACTCTATCCAGTGGATCGCGTAGATTGGTTTGTCAACAATTATCCACTCGATAGTGTTGTATCTTGTGATGGGTCAGTATCCACCCTTTGAACAACTGGGCCCTGAATGGAGGGAGACAGCATATGTTGCCATTGGCTAGTCTTCAAAATTTACCGATACCACCAACCAAATCAAATTTGACCAATACCACTTTCCCCATTGATTATACCACAAACAAAACTTCATCTACTGCTACAGCTTATTTGGCTGGTAACCACTCTATGGCAGGCCATTGGATTTTCAAGGGAGACAGAATTTCAAGTTCGAAAGTTCTCAAAAGGCGGGTGTGAAGGCTAACTGGAATTTCCAAGGTCCAGCTGAATGGGGGAAGCGAAGGGAGGAAGGCACAAGGTCAAAAACTATCTGAAGGAGGGGTAGTTTTTTTGGAACAACACATTATCATTTCTAGCAATAGACCACATGGATAGTGATATCTTTTGCAAAAATTCCTTCAATTTCCTGCTTTTGCTTCAACAATGTCAGGTATGTACAAGAAAAATATAGTCTCTTTAATAAGCTGTGCCTAATATCCTCTGTTTTCTTGTGAAATTTTAGCCGCTGTTAAGCGCTTTTTCAGCCGGTCAAATTTGCCGGTTAAGCCAGTTTCTGATACATGCAAAGAAACATCCCTGCTCTTTAAAGTGTATAAAACATTGACTCTAATAACAGCAAATTCAAACATTTGCTACCTTTAGTGGGTACCGTGGCCCCTGGTGTCTTCTCATCTTGGAGAACCTAAGAAAAAACAATAGAATGGAACTATTGAAGTACAACAGAATGAAGTTCTTTTTCTTAAGGAAAACGATTTAACGGTATGACCAGGCCACTTCATATGTAAGCTAAAAAATAGCTATGTCAGTCAATTAATGATGCTGAATGAAAATGTGAAGCTTATTATTAGGCTTTAGCTCACTATTTTTGTGTCTAGTGTACCATAATTTGCCGTATAGTAAGCCCTTGGCTTATATGTATAATCCGCAGGTAGGTAGGTTTAGTTTATCTGGCAGGGGTGGGAGGAGAGGGGCTTTTACAAAAAGGAACCTGGTATTTCAAAAATGTTTCTAAAATAAGTGTTATGAAGCACAATTTCTAAATCAACAACTCCTAAGCATACTGTAAATTCGAGGTGGCCTTTCTCAATTATTATCCACAACTTCCCATCATATTTTTAATTGAGCTAAGTTCACTTGATTTTTCTCCCGTCCTTCAACTTAGCTAGCGGGATACTTACTTGATATGCCTCATCATAACATTTCTTTCTTTCATTATCTCCAGTGGACGATGCCAACTGTTTGATGTGATGGAGGAACTTTTCCATTTCCAGGTCTTTCATCTCAGCCTGCTTCACCTCCCATACATTCTCATAAAAACTCAGTGTTTCTTTTCCATAAAAACTCAGTGCTTCTTTTCCGTATTTTCTGAACATTTCCTCTTTTTTAAGTTGCTTGCATAACTGGAGAATTCCAATGATTGTTCTCTCCCTAGCCAAACCAAACTCCTTCGCCTTCGCTCCACCTTTCCCTACCTCCCAGTGCTTTTGCCAGGTATGCAACAGGCCCTCTTGGAATTCTGGAATGTGTTGCTCATCACCAACATCTCGGTACAGCTGTTCTACCTTGTCTTTTAGTGTCGCTTTGTCGTAGGCATGGTCCTCGGCAACAAAGTCTGGTCTCACAAGAACTTTTTTGTACAGTGCTAACTTCATGGTTTTGTGCCTTGTGAGTTTCTCGTGCTCAGCTCGACTACGACAAAACTCAATTACTTTGTCCAAGAACTCATCTCTTTCTTTCAACATCTCGTTAAGCTTACTGTTATCTATTTCTTGGTCAAACTCCTCTTGAAACTCTTTCTCAGTAACAGTCTGCATCCCTTCATAGAACCACAAGGCGTCTTTTTCGGTTTCATCTTTGTCTTTCTGGTCACGAACCAAGTGCAATAAAGCATCAATGATCTCTTTGTTGTACTCAGTGAAGCTGAACTGCACAGAACGTTTCTCTTCATCCCAGAAGCGCTGACAAAATTTCAGCGCATCATTTCTAAATTTTTCCTTCTCCAGGGAATGAAATGACGGCAGATGTCGTTCCATCTTTCTTTTTGTCTCTGAGTAATCATACATGTCTTCAACACCTTTAATAATCTTCCGCCATACTTCACTATGGTTTCCTGCACCAAGCGACTTCTCCATTTCCCACGCCTCGCGGAAAAGCTCCAGCGCTTCATCAAATTTACTTAAGTTGGCTTGAAGCACTGCTCGCTGGAAAATGCTACGCACGGTTAGTGGGTGATTCCCAAGAAGCGTCATCCTTATGTTGTAAGCCCTTTCTGCAGGTTCAACTGCTTCTCGATACTTCCCCTGAAACATAAGAGCATTGGCAAGGTTTCTACAGAAGTGTGCTTCATCGCTAAACCCTGAAAGTTTGAGCTCTTCCAAAAGATACAGGGCGTCTCTGTAACACTCCACTGCCTTCTGGTAGTCTCCCTGACCCTCATATGCTGTGCCGATTTGATTCTTGTACATTGGCATGTCAAAATGATACTCTGAACCGGCAATTTCCTTTTGTATGTTGTATGCTTTAGTGTAGAACTCAAGTGCTGTCTCCGGTTTGTTGAGGTGAAAATGGCAGTTTCCAATAGCATTGTAGCACCTTGCAAGATCAGAATGAACTTTAAGGAGTTCCGCTCTAAATTGTAACGATAACTCCAAGATTTCCAGTGCTTTCTTGTAGTTTCTCTTCATGTAGTGAGTCTCCCCCTCAGTATACAGGTAAAGTCCTTTGCTGAGCCTGTAAGATTCACTCGATTTATCTTGAATATTATCGAATGAACAGGACGCTTCTTTCAACACTTCAAATGCTTTCTCAGTTCCATCAACATCTAAAACTTGCCGAGCTTCCCAACATTTTAACTGCACCCGGCAAAGAGAGCCTGTGCGGGGACAACAACAACGGCAAAAACAACTTTTGAAAGACATAACAATAAACGAAGAAATGAATGTCACGTAAAAAAAAAGGGGGTTGTATAAGTACACGTAACCCTTCCCCAGACTAAAAGTTAGTTTAGGTAAAAGTATGTCATGTTTAAGTAAAGGTTTGTTTTCTAATNTCACAAAATCTCAAGCGTGACTAACATTTACATCTTTGTTGCTTAGCTAAAATTTCGTCCAAAATTTCATAATACTGTGCCAAGCGGCCCATAAGGCAGGAGTATTTCTAGTTCTCCCTGGATGGGATGTTAGTCCATCCCAGGGTTACCCCCCAGTATTAAGTTCCCCGGCACCCATTTATACGAGAAACCAGAAACTGCAAGGGACCGCATACGATAAACGCCGCCAACGTAGGATCTACCATGAAGAGATCTGATCAGCCAAAAAGAAATGTATGAAGACAAGCAATAGACTGCAAGGCTGATACAACGTGAAAAACGTTTCGAGACACCAACTTCACAAGAACCGATAAAGTAGGATCGCAACAGTGGACAGCTGTTTCGCCCTTCTTGGGGCTCGTCAGCACTGTGTAGCGAAGATATGTAACGCCAGCCCAAAAGCCAACGCACATAAACTGCAAAATGACCCGTGCACTATATCAAGTTCCGTACTCTGAGCTCACTTGCGCCCCGAAACACGCGTTGCCACATCATGTGTTTCGGGGCGCAAGGAGACAAAGTGTTCAATATTTAAAAGTTTAGGCTGGCCTTGTCCAGCCACATTTATTCTTTTGCTTTTCGAGACACCAATCTTGACACTTTGTCAAATTCGGTCGTTATGTAATATTACATGCCATATGTCACGTTAGCCTGAACGTTCGCATAAAAAGGAAAAAAAAGGATAACATTGAGACCTTGGGCCGCCTGTGGTGTCTCGAAACGTTTTTCACGTACTATCAGCCTTGCAGTCTATTGCTTGTCTTCACCCATTTATACACCTGGGTGGAAAGAGGTACTGCATTGTGAGAGTAAACTGTCGCCGGCTTATGCGAAAGCCGATTCCATAGTCCCGATTTATGACATCATCAACATCAAAGATTTAGTTAACTTATTCAAAAGCGCCTTCGGCGACGGCCTTAACAATAACTCTAAATTAATTGAAAAGTCATTCACCCATACCGTCTTAAACGTGGTTTTTATATAAAAAACACAGATCTTTTGCCCCATTTGAGAGCTTTGAATTTACTTTATAAGTCTAGGTTTTGTAAATCATAAACAAGTAAAACTTAGCGATAAGAAAGAACAGCGTTTCGGTGACATTTCAAGTTCAAATGCAAAAAGATAAACTGTCAGAAAATGTGCTCAAGATAAACATTCTCGTTACATATGCAATGTCACGCAAATAGTTTTGCTTGAATTGAGTCCGACTGGACATTGAGAGATGGAACACTGCATTGTTCGGAAAGACCTGTACAGACATTTTTCCGTTCTCAGGAAGTACATGAATAGGTTAGATTGTTTAGTGCATGAAATGCTGCTAATTAGAGAATTAGCACCATCTCTCAATTTCAGTCGGACTCAATTGGAGCAAAACTATTTGCGTGACATTGCATACGTAATTACGAAGTATGTTAATCTTGAGCGAATTTTCCGACTGTTTATCTTTTTTGCATTTGAACTAGAAAACGGTGTCACGATGTCACCGAAACGTTGTTCTTTCTTATCGCTAATTTTTGCTTGTTTGAGTTTACTTTGGCATTTAAATTTCAGATTTTGAAAATTATCCGTATACAGGAACGCAATAATTTCGATTTCTTTGAGCTGAAGTTTGCGCAGAAACACCATTTGGGAGCTTTATGATTACAATGTTTAAGGTTTGAACAAATAATCAAAATGGGCAAATTTTAAGTTAACTCTACTGAAAACTATCATTTAAGCCTTCTAAGTTAGAGGCCGGTTTTAAATATAATTTTCAGCCCCATGCCCTCGTATTACTTATTCCTATCAATGTATATGTGTTGTGGCAGTTTGAAACTCATGTAAATTCTTTGGAAAATTAATAATAATTATGTAGATAATTTTAGGACAAGGTAACCACTTCAATTATCCGACTGTTAACAATATGGGCCGCTTTAAGATGATAAATAAATTCCAAAAATATAATAATAAATGCATAAATGAGGTAGAAGAACTTATTAAAATATCAACGGTCTCAACATTTCTCAAAATTGATCGACGAGATCATTGTAAATTATATTGTGACAGAGGTGAGCATTTTAAACGACGTAAAGACTATCATTACAGGCACCTTACCTGACCGTCCATCATCTTCACACATCTCAGCCCACGAATGAAACAGCTTGATCTGTTTGTCTTCAGTCAGCATAGCACTGAAAAGTGATGCAATCAGGGCAATCTCACGAAAATCACCTGGAACACTGAAATAGTCTGGCTGCAAAGAGATCTCAAAAGTAAACTCATAGTTCGCTCTGTCAGTCTCAAACATTTGGAATGCTTCAACATAGTCGGGCTCTATAAGTTTTGCAATCTTTTCCATCTTTGCCATAAAGTGCTGATGGAATCGTCCCTTTGCCTCCAAGTAAGCCATGTGGAATTTTGCATCTTCCTTGATACTTTTAGCATATTTTCTTAAAAGTGGATGAATGTCATACATCACTTCCTTTGCTTCTTTATTAACCACAGAAATAATTGCACTTGTAACCAGCCCCTCCAGCTGAGCTAAGGTGTCTGATGGGGTGAGGCCAAGGATGTTAGCAGCAGTAGAAGCAGAGAAAGGACCGCAAAACAACGAAACGGATACAGCAGACACTTTCAAGCTATCAGTGGGAAGTGTATTGAACATTTCCATAATTGTAGACAGCTGACCTATATCCACTCCTTCTTCTTCAAAATCTAATTGCTTTTCTTTAGCATCTTCTTCCAATTCTGATTTCTTTGGAGTGGCACCTTTCCCTTTCTGAACGTCAGCAATAAGGTCATCAGCAGATTTTCTTTCTTGTCGCAAAATAGCTGCTAATCCCTTCAAAAGAAGGGGTATTCCTTTAGAGATGTCAATTAGTTCATTCTTCTGGTGGGTATTAACATCAATCATTCCCTTAGAAATCAGGATTTCCTCTGAGAAGGAACTTTCAAGGGGTTTCACCTCAAAATTGTCCACCTTTTTTGCGTCTTGCAATTGTGTTCTGGATGTCATAAGTAGTTTAAGTGATGTTCTATTGTCTTTCTCATCAAATTCTGAAAGCCTTTCTAGAAATTGCACAAAAGCTGTTTTCAAGTTCTTGCCTTCTTTTCCTTGTCCAGTTGTGAACTGATCAACATTATCGAGTAAGAAGAGAACTGGTTGATTTAACGGTTGAATTTTCTCGTGAATTTTTGTAACAACATAATTCTGATCATCGTAGCCGATGGGAACAGTTAGTTCAAGGCAGCTCATCATGTTGAGATAAATCTCTCGCATATCTTTAGCTTCCCTTAGATCAAAAACGAATTGTTTTCCTTGCCATCTAGAACAAACGTTCTTTGCTAGTGTTGTCTTTCCCACTCCGGCCGATCCAAACAAGTTCAACACCAGCGACTGACCTTTAGGCTCAAGCTTTTCCATAATTTCCTCGAGCTCCTTTTGTCGCCCTGGCAATTCCTTCTCTGGATCAACTTCTTGCACCCGAGAGTCCTTGAAACTCTTGATCATTTCCTTGATCTGTTCTTCCTTGTTCGATTTCGGCGCAACAAACTCTTCGATCAGCGTGAGGTGGTTGTCAGACACAAATCCATGCTTCTCGAGAAGTTGCAAACATGAGAACAAATCTTGATCATCTACCGAATTAAATTTTCCTCCATAATTCCTTTTCAGTGATTGCACAACATCGTCTGATTCTGTTGAATTAAATTTTGGAGATATGCTTGTAAAGAGCTCTTGTAACCCTAGCGGGCGATCAATAAGTACCGCCATCTTAACTCGAACTGCTAATCGAAAGCGGAACAACCCCTCCGGGGGGGGGGGCACTCCCTAATATGGGCCATATAGGTATGTGCGGTCCCAAAGGGTATGGTTTTCCAGCCGTTTTGGTCATAAATAGGGTATGGTTTTTGCACTCTAGCCTTGATATGGGTATGTTGTTAAGCAGCCACTTTTTCACCATTATCGAAAACGAAAATTAACAAAAGCCCTTCACAAATTATGTTTAAGGTAATTTAACATTGGTCTGAGTTAGGGAAATTATTATAACGAAGGTCTGAAACAGGGTTTTGATTTAATGGTCAGGTCATAACAGGGTATCGAATATTTGGTCAGGTCATAAATAGGGTGGGGAAGATCGTAGATTTTGGTCATAAATAAGGTAAGGGTTTTGAGAAGCAGTCAGCACACCCCCACTCAAACTTTCTGCGAGTAACCTCCCCCCCCCCCGGGCGGAACAATCAGTCAGGCGCGCGAGGCATGAAGAGTGGGTCACACAGCTTCTGTATGCGAACCGTTAGGCGAGTGCAATCAGCTTCTTCTCTAAACTCAAATAAGTTTGTTGTTTTCCTAAAGGACATGGGACATATTCGTGTCCAATATAGACAAACTAAAACCACCCGTGAGAAAAACAGCTTCATAATCCATAACGCTTGATGGCCCATCAAGAGAGTTTTTTGCCGTTTACATTCTTAAACGGATTGTCATTGAACCGTTTCACACCGTCGCTCATGTAAGACAGTTTTCGGACGCTATTCTGAGCAAAACCTCATTAAACGGTCTGTCAAGGCGTGCAGATCGCGAAGCTTTTTCACCAGACCTTATCAGTTTGTGTATATTCGACATGACTGGCGACATAAACGTTTATCTTCATTTAAAAGATAGGTAGTCGAACATTTTTTAACGAAATCACCCATGCATGGAATGAAAGATAATTTCTTCAACAAAACGAGAGCTTGACAGCTTTAAATAACGCTATCTGATTTATTCGGTGTTTCGTGCACTAATTTTAACCGTATATCTCAAGAAAATTACATAACAACTGAGATAGTACGCGCTCTCTGATCTGTCGGTAGATTTACCAAATCGATCATGTTTTATTGTACCGGTCAACAACCGGCTCCCGACAGCCGCATTTCCTTTAAAAGGGGTCAAAGACTTTCTTAGCTAAAAAGTTATGAACTAACTTTTAAACGGGATTTAATCTCCACTGTGGTTTAGACCAGATTTTTTTAACCTCTATGATGGGTAGATGGGAGTGTGGGACGGGAGAGGTGTGCCGAATCTTCAGGACAACAGTGATTCTCTTTTTAAATAATTTCGATTTTCCAAACTGCCATGCTACATCGTTCTTCAAACTGTTATAGAAATTCATGAGCACTTGCTTCTGTAGCAGCTGTCTTAGCAAATATTTTTATTTCATTTTGGGTAAAATCAGCTCTCTGAAAAATGTCTTACTTCCACGCTAGTAGACAATTAGTACATGAAGGCACAAGTTTAAAAGTGAACGCTTGTAATATGGTCAGTTTAGTACTAGATTCTACTCGGGAACAATCCAACTTCAACTTCAACTTCGACTTTACTTAATTTTGCATTTACATTTTGAAATTACAATATTAGGATAAAACGTATATAACAATTAAAGGTGACAATGGTATGTAGTTTGTGCATGGAGGCTAAGAGAACCGCGAGGTTACCGAGTTAGCCTCCACTGCTACGGGAACCCTAAAATCCGGAAAAGGAAATCCAGAATCCGGCACCAGAATCCGGCACCAGAATCTGGATTCGGGGACCGGGAACCCGAAAACCGAAGTCTGGTATCCGGAAATGGGAAACCGGAAACCAGAAATCGGAATCCGGAATCCACAAATAAGAGAATGCAAGTTCTTTAAATACGCGAAAATTATTTGGATAGCTTTTGCAATTTGGCCTTTATGTCTAGTAGATACTTAACAATGTCATAGAGAGCGAGGTCTCTGTCAGTGGCAGCCCACTGTACATTGACGGTCGCACGCCCACTTTCGCTGTCCAAAGGCTAACCTGGTTGGTCTAAATAAATTTGTTTTTCCTAACAGCTACGAGACTAAATCGTAGAAACTCTTATTATTCGGTCATTTCAGCTTGAGTAAAAACCTTGATTTGAGAACTTAACGTTTCGTATGCTTCTACATACATCATCAGAAGTATAAAACGGTTAGCTGCATTACAATAAATTTAAACGAAAAGACTAGTACCTAATTTGAAAAACCGGTACCTAATAAGGAAAGAAATGACAATGGATATATATGAAAATAAACAGACTTAAAATCTGCTGGGGAAAAACAAAACAAAACAAAACAAAACAAAAAACAGCATATAAATGGCTAGTAGAGAAGAAATTTCTCACTGCAAATATAAATCAATAATGTTTCTTTAAGTTTACAATGCACATCAGTTCGTCCGCTGGCTAAAATGTCAAAGTGATCCCATCTTATCCTGTGGCCTGTCAGGGTCATATGGTTTGCCACGGCAGAAGCGTGGTTAGTACTCGTCAGCGCTTAAAATGCTCCCGGTTTTACCTGTCATGCAACCAACGCTTTGTTTTTCCAATGTAAATCAACACTATTTCCACACTGATACTGTTACAAATCACCACTATATGTTCTTGTCGGCTATCATATTAAAAAAAAATAAGTATAGAGAGCAGTCTGTCGTGTTTGGGCGGGGGACGCGAGCGGCGAAGCCGCACGAGGGCACTCGCTCAACGCAAAAAGACACTAGACACTAGAGCCTGTTCAGACACTAGAGACAGATTCTGGAGCTGGCTCGCAGGCTATGGGTGACTATCCACCCAAAAAATCACTAACCCTGCCGGGATAGTGACTTACCCAATGGATAGCTTTATCCAGCTTTTGAACCGACTGGGCCAGATGTATAGCTAAGGGTTGTTTAAAACTGATCAAGAATTTTTTAACAATTACAATTTCTGGTTGAAGTAAAGCAAAGAAAATAAATAGCACCAAAATAATGTTTCCCTATATTTTTTAATTAGACATTGCTGAAGTGAGTTATTTCTATCGTCATTCATAATATCTGGACTGACTCTGGCATAACAGTTAAACGAACACATTTAACTCCAAATAATAACAAGCTTTGAAAA